CCTGGCCCAACTTCAGAGAACCAGGGACTGTTTAGGGCGGATTTAAAATCCTCTCTTATTTCTTGGAGCTGTATCCAAGTTCCAAATAAAAGCTTGGTTCCTGAGGATTTGGGATTTACAAGTGCAGTTCACACCCTCACTAGGTCTGCAACCCAGGGACACCTTCTGAGCTTGTGCACTCACACTGCTGCAGGCACAGCTATGGAGGTGCTCCCCTCTGAGTTCCTCCACTCACACTGCTGCAGGCACAGCTATGGAGGTGCTCCCCTCTGAGTTCCTCCACTCACACTGCTGCAGGCATAGCTATGGAGGTGCTCCCCTCTGAGTTCCTCCACTCACACTGCTGCAGGCACAGCCATGGGAGGTGCTCCCCTCTGAGTTCCTCCACTCACACTGCTGCAGGCACAGCTATGGAGGTGCTCCCCTCTGAACTCTTCCACTCACACTGCTGCAGGCACAGCCATGGGAGATGCTCCCTTCCCAGCTCTTCCACTCACACTGCTGCAGGCATAGCCATGGAGGTGCTCCCCTCTGAACTCCCCCACTCACACTGCTGCAGGCACAGCCATGGGAGATGCTCCCTTCCGAGCTCTTCCACTCACACTGCTGCAGGCACAGCCATGGGAGATGCTCCCCTCTGAGCTCCTCCACTCACACTGCTGCAGGCCCAGCCATGGGGAGTTGTGCCCCTCCAGCTCCTACCCCAGACTCTCGGCAAACACTGACATGAGTCTTCACATTCTGCACGACATTAGATACTGACCTCAGAATTTCCCCCACTATGGCTACACTGCTGAGATCCTCTAACCTCCACTGTCTCCATCACCCTCAGGACCATGGCTGGCTCCCAGGTCTGCCCACCTCTCTGCTCACCCGCCTCACCAGGGCTCTGTCTTTCTTGGGGTCACCTCCTCAGGCACTGCCCGTGGGATGAACTTCCCTTTCACAGACAGCAGTCCTCCCTGTACCAACAAGGACGGCCTTCCCAGAAGCTTCTCTACCTGCGGCTGGCGCCTGTGGCCTGTGACGCTATTGCCAAAATTGCCAGGCTCCCTTCCCGCCCCGCCCACCAGCCCAGAGGGGCAGCACTGCTTTGGGGAAATCAATGGGAAGGGAGGCCTGAAGGCGGGGCCCAGGCAGTACCAGGCCTCTGCCACAAGATGGCAGACAATTCACTTTTATTTGAGAGGAAAACACCATCAACAGTGATGAAAATCCACAGAAACAGGGCTATGCTGCCCTCCTCCACCTCCCCTTCACCTGGGACATTCTGGACAGGCCTTGTCCGTGTGGCAGACACATGCTGGAGCCCCCAGGCCTGCAGTCCACACTGCAGCCCACCAACTCCAGGCTGGGGCCGCCACTCAGCAGAGAGCTGTGGCTCTAAAACTGGGGGCAGGGGGACAAAAATGCACTGAAGAAACCGATATGAAAGCAGAGGAAAAATCCCACCTGGTCTCTATGTTCCCTTCTTCCCCACAGCCTGGCCTCTGTTGTCTCACTTGACAAGAGGAAGTCACTCCCCTCAGCCACCTCCCAGGGCCTGTTGCTCAGACACACCCAGCGGGATGCGGTGCCAGGGCCCCAGGGCCCCTTCCCAGCCCTTTCTGCTTATTTAGATCTGGTCTGTGATGGCCAGTTTTGCATTGTCCTCCCCTCCCCAGAGCCTGTCCTCCACCTCTCCAGGCTCCAGGCTGGGTCCGTCCCCACACAGAGCCAGCCCCTCAAGCCCCTTCTCCGCTAGGTTCCTTGGCCAGGACAGCTCCAGAGGAAGAGCTGATCTGGGCCTAATGCCCCCCCTTCTACCCCCTCCCCCCCTTCTTATTGACTTCTTGATTGTGGCATACTTTTTCTTGCTGATGTTACAGGCTGTGCCACTTGGAAGGTCACCTCATGGAATCAGTCATGCTTTTCTCACATACTTTACCTCACTCTTTCTTAGATAGGCCCAGGAAGCCTCTTACAGCTTTTTTCTCTTATCATTTTTGCTCTGGAAGCAGATTTTCTGTCTGTAAAAATGGGCACAATACCCAGCTCACTATGCTATTGTAAGAATCCAAGATAAAGCATAAAAAGTGCATAGCACCTGGCATACTGTAACTACACAACAGTACTGGCTCCCTTTCCCATCATGCCCCAGGTTGGAGGAAAGCTGGCCCATCTATCTTGCCCTCCTTACGTAAGCCTCCATCTACACCAGCCATGGCCCAGTATTCAGGATCTTCAGAAAGGACCACCAAGTCCAAAGCCATCATGACCACTGCCCATTACCCTTTCACCGGGTTCTGGAAACATGCAGGCATATCTAATTGGACATTGTTAAGAGAGATGACTGCCCTAGCTGGTTTGGCTCACTGGATAGAGCATCAGCCTGTGGACTGAATGGTCCCAGGTTCGATTCTGGTCAAGGGCATGTACCTTGGTTGCAGGCACATCCCCAGTAGGGGGTGCGCAGGAGGTAGCTGATCGATGCTTCTCTCTCATCGATGTTTCTAACTCTATCCCTCTCCCTTCCTCTCTGTAAAAAATCAATAAAATTATGTAAAAAAAAAAAAAAGAGAGACGACTAATTCAAGCACAGCGAAGCCCCACACCAGAGAAACGACTGTGCTGCCAATGGGAAAGCCAGCGGGAGCGGGAGAAGGGACCCAAGTGCCAACTCATCAGATTCATGTGTTTTAAAGCCTCATTATGTCTAGGCCAGGCTAACCCCACCTCCTCCACCACTCAAGGAAGTTTTAGCCTTATTTTATGTTGGGTTTTTAGATAATTATTCATAAAGTATAAATGTATGTTTCATTTTATTTTAGGCTCACTTCTGAAAAATATTTTAACGGTGAGAAATGTGTTTCCATGAACTGAAATCCAAATTACGATTCAAACCACAGAAAATTGGGGTTTGACTTTTAAGAACTCCACATGAAACTGTTGCCCAAGGGCCAACCAGGCCTGCCTTAGAGACAAAGGCTGTGGGGCAGGAAGCAGGAGGCAGATATTCTGTTGCTCACTGCGCCCTCTAGTGGCAGCAGGGAGTACGTACCGGGCATGGCCCACTCCTTGGGTCCTACTTTCCTGCGGGAACTGAAAGACCCCTTCAGTTCCTTCCAGATCCAACTGCATGGAATTCCATGCTCTGTTTCTATCCTGAGC